TGGTCTCGAACTCCTGACCTTGTGATCCGCCCGTCTCGGCCTCCCAAAGTGCTGGGATTACAGGCTTGAGCCACCGCGCCCGGCCGCTTTATTTTATTTTTGAGACAGGGTCTCACTCTGACACCCAGGCTGGAGTGCAGTGGTGTGGTAATGGCTCACTGCATCTTTGACCTCCCAGGCTCAATTGATCCTCCCGCCTCTGCATCCTGAGTAGCCGGGACTACAGGTGTGTGGCACTGCACCCAGCTAATTTTTTTTTTTTGTTAGAGACATTTAACCATTTTGCCCAGGGTGGTCTTGAACTCCTGGACTCAGTCGATCCATCTGCCTAAGCCTCCCAAAGTGTTGGGATTACAGGTGTGAGCCACTGTGCCCGGCCCCATTTCAGTTTCAGAAATGGATCAAGTAATCAATGATGCCAGCAAAATCCTAATACAGGCAACCTTTGACTTAGCCGCAGATGCTTTTCCACAGCTTCACAGGTAAATATATGGTTAGACATGATTTTCTGTAGGAGTAATGTGTTCTAGTTGGTTGTGAGGCTTCCAACCTAGCTCACCCGTTTAACCCATAATTCTTTTAATACTATATTAAATACTGGTTCCAATATAGTCATTTGAAGACAATATGTTCAGAAGTCTCCACATTGAACTGAAGAGATTAAACATATGTGTACTGAAGGTTTGGACATAAGCCTCCCTAGCCAAGAATAGAGAATGGGAAAGTTTCTTACAAAAATGACCAATTTACTGGATAGGATTAATTTGCATGTGTTATGAAAAAAATAAGAGCTGTCATTGCCAATTTTTTTTTTTTTTTTAAAGAGATAGAGTCCCACTCTGTTGGCCAGGCTAGAGTGTGGTGGTGTGATCGTAGCTCACTGCAGCCTTGAACTCCTGGGCTCAAGTGATCCTCCCACTTCATCCTTCCAAGTAGCTGGGACTACAAGCACCTGCCATCATGCCTGGTTAATTATTTTAAATTTTTTGCAGAGATGGAGTCTCACTGTATTGCCCAGGTTGGTCTCGAACTCCTGGCCTCAAGATGTCCTCTCACATTGGCCTCCCAAAGGGCTGGGATTACAGGCATGAGCCACCATGCCTGGCTACCCAAACGTTTTTATGGTATTTTGTAAATGGGGGTGTGTGAGGCCAGCACTATTTGTGTGCAGGCAGAGTAGGCTGCCTCTGTGCAGGTGTTGGTGCTGTGATGATGGCTAGCCTTTGCTATCTAAACAGCAAGGCTCCATTAGGGGCGGAGGAAAAAGAGTTTTCTCCCCCAGATTTAAGTTAACATTCTCCTTAGGGAGAACACCTTTCCGTGGCCAACCCTCAATCAAAGCCCCTGAAGTCATCTTACTTCCAGATGTTGATTTCCTCTTTGTTGAAGCCGTAGATGAACTAGAACGTGGTTAGAGTTTGGCTAGACGTACGAGCTCCCTGCTCTTCACACTCAAGACCCCCCTGCAACCCAGTTCCAGTTTACCCACCAACCTTGTGGCCGATGCTCCCTGCACACATCAGCTCCCACAGCCAAAGGGGTCGGCTCACAGCTCTCTGCGTCTGTTTCGGGTCATTCTGTCCTGCCATGTGTTGTTCCTCTTTCCTGGAATTGTGACGCTTTTCTCTTGTTTTCCTCTAATTCAACCTGTCTTTCCTCCACGGTTTTTAAGAAAACGCGTCTGCCTTTTACCTTTGTCAGAGTTTGGAAGAAAATTTTATTTTATTTCTGGTTGTCGAGATCATCAGTGACAAATTTAAGCATCTATTTCTTTTATTTGAAGGAAGACCCCGTTGATTTTTTTAAAAAATTTTGGTAAAAGATATATACTTTTATTTGTTTTAACCACTCATAAGTGTATATTAATTACATTTACAACGTTGTATCACCATCACTACTATGTATACCCCCAATTTTTTCATCATCAACAAAAACTTTATTAAACATTATACCGATCAAAACAAAAACTTTATACCTATTAAAAAACAAAAACGTTGGCTGGGCATGGTGGCTCACGTCTGTACTCCCAGCACTTTTGAAGGCCGAGGCAGACGGATCACCTGAGGTCAGGAGTTCGAGATCAGCCTGACCAACACGGTGAAACCCCATCTCTACTAAAAATACAAAAATTAGCCAGGTATGGTAGTGGGCACCTGTAATCCCAGCTACTCGGGAGGCTGAGGCAGGAAAATCACTTGAATCAGGGAGGTGGAGGTTGTAGTGAGCCAAGATCGCACCACTGTACTCCAGCCTGGGTGACAAAGTAAGACTGTCTCAAAAACAAACAAACAAACAAAACTTTATACCTATTAAACAACAATTCCCCATTTTCTCCTCTCCCTAGCTCCTTGTAACTACCATTCTACTTTCCATCTGTATGAATTTTCCTGTTTTAGGTACCTTATATAACTAGAATAATATAATATTTATCTTTTTACATCTGACTTATTTCACTAAATGTCATGTTTTCAAGGGTCATCCATGTTGTAGCATATCTCAGAATTCCCTTCATTTTTTTTTTTCTTTTTTTGAGATGACGTTTCACTCTTGTTGCCCAGGCTGGAGTGCAATGGCATGATCTCAGCTCACTGCAACCTCCACCTCCCAGATTCAAGTGATTCTCCTGCCTCAGCCTCCCGAGTAGCCGGGATTACAGGCATGCGCCACAACACCCGGCTAATTTTTTTGTATTTTTAGTAGAGACGGGGTTTCTCCATGTTGGTCAGGCTGATCTCGAACTCCTGACCTCAGGTGATCCACCTGCCTCAGCCGCCCAAAGTGCTGGGATTACAGGCGTGAGCCACCGCGTTGGGCTGCCTTCATTTTTAAGGCTAAATAATATTCTGTTGTGTATATATCCCACATTTTATTTATCCATCGTTGGTGGACACTTGGGTTATTTCTTTTGACTTGTGAATCATGCTGCCGTGAACATTGGTGTATAAATATCTGTTTAAGCCCCTCCTTACGACTCTTAGATACACACCTGAGAGAATTGAAGGTTACATGGTAGTTGAACATTTAACCTTTTGAGAAACTGCTGAACTGTTTTCTACAGCAGCGATACCATCCATTTCACATTCCCACCAGCAATGCATAAGGGTTCCAGTTTCTCCAAATTCTTGCCAATGCTTGTTATTTTTCACTTAAAAAAAAAAATGGGCCAGGTGCGGTGGCTCACGCCTGTCATCCCAGCCCTTTGGGAGGCTGAGGTGGGTGAGGTCAGGAGATCGAGACCATCCTGGCTAATATGGTGAAACCCCGTCTCTACGAAAAATACAAAAAAAAAACAAAAAAAAAAACTAGCCGGGCGTGGCGTAGTCCCAGCTACTCGGGAGGCTGAGGCAGGAGAATGGCGTGAACCCGGGAGGCGGAGCTTGCAGTGAGCCGAGATTGCGCCACTGCACTGCAGCCTGGGCGACAGTGCGAGACTTCGTTTCAGAAAAAAAAAACCACCACCACCACCAACAACAACAAAAACATTTAGTTGTAAGCTGGGCGCGGTGGCTCACGCCTGCAATCCCAGCACTTTGGGAGGCCGAGGTGGGCGGATCACCTGAGGTCAGGTGTTGACAGCAGCCCGGCCAATATGATGAAACCCCATCTCTACTAAAAATACAAAAATTAGCCAGGCGTGGTGGCGGGCGCCTGCAATTCCAGCTGCTCAGGAGGCCGAGGCAGGAGAATCACTTGACCTCGGGAGGTGGAGGTTGTAGTGAGCCAAGATTGCACCACTGCACTCCAGCCTGGGCGACAGAGTGAGACTTCAGTGACTCAAAAAAAATTTTAATTATAGCCATCCCTGGGTGTGAAGTGATGATACCTCAACGTAGTCTTGATTTGCACTTCTCTAATGACTAATGATGTTGCTGATCTTTTCATGGACTTCTTGGCCGTCTGTACCTCTTTGTAGAAGTAGCTACTCAAATGTTTGCCCATTTTTTAAATTGAGTTGTTCATTGCATTGAATTGTTAAGAAGCATCTTCCATTAAATACGTCATTGTAAGCCTCATTTCAATTTCAGAAAAGTTCGAATATAATAAACACATATCTTAGAATAATAACTAAGGTGCTATCTCTTTATGTGGCTTATTTAAAAATGTGTAAATATTTACTTTGCCTGTAAAATATACATGAACTGGCTTTTAGAAAATTGCCTCATTGTGGGGATGATAATCATCTTCATAAAGTAGGTTAAGTTACCTATTAAAAATTAATTAACATGATTGATTTATGTTCCATTAAATGTACCAGTATCTGCCCCAGTTAAGCATTTGCTATTTAAACACACCATGTTCATTTTTGGGGAGAAGGTTTAACGTATTAAACACAGTATTAGATCACTGCGTTACAAGGTATAGTGTGAATCTTTGAAAAAAATGAAGTTTTTGTCTCTTAACTTTGAATTCTAATTATTACGGGAATATTCAAAATACTCGAGGTAAAATAATGATTGTATTTTTTAATGTATGCGCCACTTTAGAGTCTAATTTAAATTAATATAGGGGCTACATAATGACTTATGTCTGTTTTTGTCTTGGCAGAACCTGGGGTCTTTGTTCTCCATTCGCGTTGTGGGACTCTCTGTGGCCTGTAGCTATTTGTCTCCGAAGGACAGTCGGCCCCTCTGTCACTGGGCAGTTGACAGGTAAGGGGGAAGGTCCAGGTTCAGTAAGTTAATGAATCATGTCTTATTTTACTAGAGTCCTTTGAGGGTATGTGTCAGTGAGATTGCTCGTAATGTTTATTATTCTTGATCATTTACCTCTCCAGTACCAGCCGCTATGTTAGATCACTGGGCATATTCTGTGCTTTGAACTCTTATGTCTAGAGAGGCACTATTATGTCCACTTCAAAGATGGGGGGACACCAGTGTTGTCAGAGATTAGTTAACTTGATCACACTTAAACAACTAGTTAATAGACAAGCCCAAATTTGAACCCAGATTGATCTAACTAAAACCCAAATTCGGCCGGGCATGGTGGTTCACGCCTGTAATCCCAGCACTTTTGGAGGCTGAGGTGGGTGGATTGCCTGGGATCAGAATTTGGAGACCAGTCTGGCCCACTTGGTGAAACCCCATCTCTACTAAAAATACAAAAAAATCAGCCAGGTATGGTAGCACGCGCCTATAATCCTAGCTACTCAGGAGGCTGAGGCAGGGGAATTGCCTGAACCAGGGAGTTGGAGGTTACAGTGAGCTGAGATCGTGCCACTGCACTCCAGCCTGGGTGACAGAGCAAGACTCAATCTCAAAAAACCAAAACCAAAAAAAACCAAAACACCGAATTGGTTCAATCCGGCCGCGCTCCTGAATTCAACAGGAATATCTCCTAGGATATGTGAAGATTCTACAGCTAATTCATTGGTCCTAAACTGTAAGAGATTGTGGACTGAGGCTTAAAGCCAGTGTGGCTGTGTCTCTGGTTGCTACCTTGATAGCCTTCCGGTGCGTGTGGCCTTGCAAAACAATCCCCAGGTCGTTGCAGCATCTATGGACAGTTCCGCTCTATAAATCAATGTCTGGCACTTCTCTTTATTTTTCCATAGACCCCAGGTTCTCAGTAAGGTCCTCTGATTTCCTGACTTGGTCAGCCACATTCAGTCTGACTGAGATGGGCCTCTCCCCTTCTAAAGAGACCAGGAACCAGGGTAGCGGGTGAGCCAGAAGGTTCTGTGACCTACACCCCATCCACATCCTCCTTGGCTGATGCATGCTTTTGCTTTACAGAGTTAGGGAGGCAGGAGAAGGATCATCAAGGGCCTGCTTGGGTCTCCCAGGGAGAGGGAGCCCCAGGAAGAGGAACCCCCTTCCCACACTCAGTCTTGGAGATAAGAACTGTGCCACCCAAAGCGGTTCTGTAGACTGCCAGCCTATGAACTGACTGTCACCAGCCCATGACAAGAACTTGAGAGGAAGCACTTAGGAATGTTAAAGCAATGTGACAGAGTAATCTATAATATGGTGGATAAGATAATTTCTTTTAAAAATGGAACTTATATTTTGTATGTCTTTCCTCACCCCCTATTACTTTTTATATTTATTTATTTATTTATTTATTTATTTATTTATTTATTTATTTTTGAGACGGAGTCTCCCTTTGTCTTCCAGGCTCGAGTGCAGTGGCGCAATCTCGGCTCCCTGCAGCCTCCGCCTTCTGGGTTCAAGCAATTTTCCTGCCTTAGCCTCCCAAGTAGCTGGGAGTATAGGCACGTGCCACCACGCCCGGTTAATTTTTTTTATTTTTAGTAGAGACAGGGTTTCACCACGTTGGTCAGGCTGGTCTCGAACTCCTGACCTCAAGTGACCCACCTGCCTCTGCCTCCCAAAGTGGTGGGATTACAGGTGTGAGCCACCGCACCCGGCCCGTTATTTCTTTTTATAAAAGTATTGGTCTGCAGTGGTTTGGAAACAAACCGTCAAACTAGTCTTTTACCATAGGTAGTTTGAGAAGCACTAGAATTGAGTAGAGTTGTCCAGCAAGCTGACCATCCTAAAGGATGTCCTCTTGAGATCACACCTCTCCTGACCCACACCTTCCATTCACTGGACATCTCACTACAGTCTGGCCCTTGTTCACCCCATCCCCATCCCCACCCCACCCCACAGCCCAGTCCCAGCCCTGCTGGTACAGCTCTCTCTGGCATCTGATGTGACCTTTACCTCTTTCACAGGGCTCTCCATTTAGCCTTTGCCCTGCCTCTTCCATGCCTATCCCAACATCTCTTTGTTCTATAGGAAATTCTTTATTTTCTTTTTGATAAAATACACAAATACAAAAATTCTTTTTTTTTTTTTTTTGAGATGGAGTCTCGCTCTCTCATTCAGCCTGGAGTGCAGTGGCGCAATCTCGGTTCACTGCAACCTCCCCTTCCCGGGTTCAAGTGATTCTCCTGCCTCAGCCTCCCGAGTAGCTGGGACTACAGGTGCCCGCCACCACGCCCGGCTAATTTTTTGTATTTGTAGTAGAGATGGAGTTTCACCGTGTTAGCCAGCATGGTCTCGATCTCCTGACCTCATGATCCGCTCGCCTCAGCCTCCCAAAGTGCTGGGATTACAGGCGTGAGCCACCGCCCGGCGCCAAAATTACATTATAACCACTTTAAAGTGTGCAGTTCAGTGGAATTGTTACATTCACCTTGTTATACAGCCATTGCCACCATCCAACTCCAGAGCGCTTTCATCTTGCAAAATGGAAACTGTGTACCTATCACACAGCATCCCTCCTCTTCATCTGCCTCAGTCTCTGAAAAACCACCACTCTACTGTCTGTCCTATGAATTTGACAACTGTAGGTGCCTCAGGTAGCAGGAATCATAGTGTTTATCCTTCTGTGTTTGGCTTATTTCACTAAGCACCGTATTTTCAAGGTTCACCCATGTTGCAGCACACGTTAGAATTTCCTTCCTTTTTAGGGGTGAATAATATTCCATTGTATGTATGCACAACCTAGAAATATATCTCCTATAAGTTTTTTTTTGTCTGCTTGAAATCTTCCTCTCCCTCTCTGGATGCTCAAACATTATTGGGTCTCAGCATTTCACACCTGGCCCTCTGGTTTCCATTTATGGGTGATTTTTTTTTTTTTTTCAGACAGAGTCTCACTCTGTCGCCTAGGCTAGAGTGCAGTGGCGCGATCTCGGCTCACTGCAAGCTCCGCCTCTCGGGTTCAAGCAATTCTGCCTCAGCCTCCTCAGTAGCTGGGACTATAGGGGCACGCTGCCACGCCCGTCTAATTTTTTGTATTTTAGTAGAGACAGGGTTTTACCGTGTTGCCCAGGCTGGTCCCAAACTCCTGAGCTCAGGCAATCTGCCCACCTCTGCCTCCCAAAGTGCTGGGATTACAGGTGTGAGCCACTGTGCCTGGCCCCATCCCTGGGTGGTCTTACTCTTGGTTCTGTCTACCGCCTTTAGGCCAAAGTCTCCCAGATCCATATCTCCTGCCCAGATTTTTCTCTAGATTGCAGACCCGCCTGTCCTACTGAAATGCCTCATAGACACTGGTAACTAAACACTTGTGAGTCTGAACTCTTCTTGCTTAAAGCTTTTCTTTTCCCATCTTTGTGTCTAAATGGTGACACCACCATCTACTCAGGAACTCAAGCTAGGAACCTAGCATCGTCCCTGATCCCTTCTTTCTGCTTTGTCCTTCCATTCAGTCCATTTTCAGGTCTTATGTCTTCCCTATCCTGGCACTTCCCCAGATCTCTCCACTCCTCTCCACATTGACACCGTTGCCTGAATTTAGGCCCTGATCATGTCTTACCTGGATTGCTCTGGCAGCCTCCTATTTCACTTACCTGAATCCGTCCAGTGTCCTCGGTGTTAGAGACCACTGGGTGGTCTCCTGGTGCCCACGGGCTAAAGTCCACACTTGTGAGGGTGGCCTACAGAGCCCTCCCTCTCCCATGTGGCCTGTCCCTCGCTGTGCTGGGATCTTCCAGCACACACCCTGCCCTCTACTACTGAGTTCTCCACCTGTGTGTCCTTTCCCCTCTGGTTCCCCTGACTGACTTTTTAAAAAAATTCATTAAATTTTTGGGCCAGGCACGGTGGCTCACACCTGTAATCCCAGCACTTCGGGAGGCCGAGGCGGGTGGATCACTTGAGGCCAGAAGTTCAGACCCAGCCTGGCCAACATGGTGAAACCGCATTTCTACCGAAAATACAAAAATTAGCCAGGCGTGGTGGCGCACACCTGTAATCCCAGCTACTTGGGAGGCTGAGGCAGGAAAATCGCTTTAACCCGGGATGTGGAACTTGCAGTGAGCTGAGATTGTTCCACTGCACTCCAGCCTGGGCAACAGAGCGAGACTGTGTCTCAAAAATAAATAAATAAACAAAATAAAGATAAAAATGTCTTAAATTTTTATTATTTATTTTTATTTCTATAACTTTCTTGGGTGAATGTTGTCTTCTCACTTATATACTTTTGTTTTTTTTAAAGATTCATAGGTACATGTGCAGGTTTTTATATGGGTATATTATATAATTCTGGGGTTTGAGTTTCTATTGAACCCATCACTGAAATAGTGAGTGTAGTACTCAGTACTAGTTTTTCCTCTCCCCCTTTTTCCCTCCCCCATTTTGCAGTGCTCATTGTCTATTGTTCCCGTGTTTATGTCCATGTGTGCCCATGGTTTAGCTCCCACTTATAAGTGAGAACATGTGGTATTTGATTTTCTGTTTCTACATTCATTCACTTAGGATAATGGCCTCCAGCTTCATCCATGTTGCTGCAAAAAACAGGAATTCATTTTTTTTGGCTGTGTAGTGTTCTATGGTGTACCTGTATCATATTTTCTTTATCCAGTCTACCATTAATGGACACTCAGGTTGACTCCATGGCCTTACTGTTATGATCAGTGCTGTGATAAATGTATGAGTGCAGGTGTCTTTTGATACAATGATTTCTTTTCCTTTGGGTTGATACCTTGGAGCAGAATTGCTGAGTTGAGTTTTTAGTTCTTTGAAAAATCACCATACTTTTTTCCACAGGAGTTGAACCAATGTACATTCCAACCAACAGTGCCTAAGCATTCTCTTTTCTCTGCATCCTCACCAATATCTGTTATTTTCTGACCTTTTTTTTTTTTTTTTTTTTTGAGACGGAGTCTTGCTCTGTCGCCCAGGCTGGAGAGCAGTGGCTGGATCTCAACTCACTGCAAGCTCTGCCTCCCGGGTTTACGCTATTCTCCTGCCTCAGCCTCCCGTGTAGCTGGGACTACAGGCACCCACCACGTCGCCCGGCTAGTTTTTTATATTTTTTAGTAGAGACGGGTTTCACCGTGTTAGCCAGGATGGTCTTGATCTCCAGCCTCCCAAAGTGCTGGGATTATAGGCTTGAGCCACCGCGCCCGGCCTATTTTCTGACTTTTTAATAATAGCCATTGGACTGATGCGAGATGGTATTTCATTGTAGCTTTCATTTGCATTTCCCTGATGATTAGTGATGATGAGCAGTTTTTAATATGTTTGTTATCCACTTGTATGTCTTCTTTGGAGAGGTGTGTTTCATGTCCTTTGCTCACTTTTTAATAGGACTGTTTGTTTTTGTTGACTTAAGTCCCTTATATATTCTGGATATTAGTCCTTTGTCAGATGCATAGTTTGCAAAATTTTTCTCCCATCCTGTCGGCTGCCTCTTTTATTCTGTTGATAGCTTCTTTTGCTGTGCAGACCTCTTTAGTTTAATTAAGTCCCAGTTTTCAATGTTTGTTTATGTTACATTTGCTTTTAAGGTCTCAGTCATTCCTCTGGCCAGGTCCTGCCTATCTGTCCTTCAGAGCAGCCCGGGGTGTGCGTCCCCAGACACCTGAGTGCATTAGAATGATCTCTGTGTGCTCCTCCCATTAGCCTATCGGCCTGTTAAGGGTGGGGATTGTTAGGTTTGTACATTTCTTGGAATAGCATCTCCATAAACATTGAATAAGGCCCTCTTTCTTTTTGTATCAGAGCTGTGGTCGGGGGAGGTAATCTCACCCTCTAGTGACAATCTGATTTCCATGTGAAGAGGGAAGTTGGGTGACAGCCACACCTCTTTCTTTCCCTGTCCTGAGGAGTTTTGTACAATAAACTTGGACCATGAAGGTACCTGTTTTCCTTTTCCACTTCCATGTTTAAATTCCAGTCGAAGAGTAGATTGTGGATTGAGGCAGAAAGAGATGAAAATTTTAAGTTTATTAGTAAGACTGATTTAAGGATCCTGCTTAGATGTGAGTCCAATTTGGGCTTTCAAATGTGTTCCCCCAGAATTAAATGATGCACCCACTGACCTCCGCCAAGGCTGTTTGGAACATCAGTCCCCGGGTTGCGGGGAGACTGCTGAGCCCTGAAGAGCTGCAGGAAGGAGGTCCCGTGTTTTCTGATGGGCTCCCTTGTTCTCTTCTCAGGGCGTTGCATCTCAGGAGGCCGGGAGGCCCTCCACATGTCAAGCTGGCGGTGGAGTGGGATAGCTCTGTCAAGGAGCGGTGAGTTCAAGGGAATTTACCTCCCGCAGAGCTGAGACAGGGCCTCTCGGTGCCCAGGTTTCCCTGGATGCAGCTTCCCCCAGCATGGCTGCAGGCAGGGTGCCCACATCTTTGAGCCAGTGTAACCCGTTCCTGCGAGATGCCTGAGTGAGAATTTTCTGTATGTAAATAACAGTGACAGGAATGGAGTGACTGGTGGTGGTGGGTGATGTCAAGAGTAGTAACTGCAGTCACAGTAGACAGTTACGCAGCACCCACCCACTCACCCCGTGCCAGTCACTGCTCTGAACACTTTACGTGTGTATAGGGGATTTATTTAATCTTCTTCACACCCTATGTGTGGGTGGTCTGGGGTGGGTACTCCTGTAATCCACATTTCTCAGAGGTGGAAACTGAGGCACAGAGAGGTTAAGCAATTGCTGGAGAGCACACAGCTCGTACACTGGTAGAGCTGGGATTTGAACCCAGACCCTCTGGCTGGAGTCCATGCTCCTCATTACCATACTTGGCTACCTCTGTAACACTGAGGGCATCAGCCTTGCTTTAAGAAAGGACATTGTTCACTCCAGCAAGTATTTATTGATCAACTACTAGGTGCCAGGCCCTGTGCTAGGATGAGGAAAACAAAGATGAATAAGCCAAGGACCTGGTCCCTGTAGGAGCTGGTGGGGGAGAGAGAATTCCAGTAGAATATAGTGCTGAGTCCAGAGGATGCCTGCAGCTCCCCAGGAACCCATAGACAGGGCACAGTAGCGTCGCCTGGCCAATGCCTTGTGGCGGGTTTGCTGTGAGTAGAGACATAGGCGAAGCCCGTCTCGGAGTGGGAAAGTCCTGAACGCCGTGGGTGTCCTCTCCGTGCAGCCTGTTCGGGAACCTCCAGGAGGAGCGGGCGCAGGATGCCGACAGCGTGTGGCAGCAGCAGCAGGCGCACCAGCAGCACAGCTGTACCTTGGATGAATGTTTTCAGTTCTACACCAAGGAGGAGCAGGTCCCGCCCTGGGGGTCCACGCCCCGGCCGGGGAAGGGGGCTGGCTGCCTTTGGTGGGTTGGCCACGTGCCGCGGGGGCCTCATAGTCCGGGTGGTTTCCTTTCCAGCTGGCCCAGGACGATGCCTGGAAGTGTCCGCACTGCCAAGTCCTGCAGCAGGGGATGGTGAAGCTGAGTTTGTGGACGCTGCCTGACATCCTCATCATCCACCTCAAGAGGTTCTGCCAGGTGGGCGAGAGAAGAAACAAGCTCTCCACGCTGGTGAAGTTTCCACTCTCTGGACTCAACATGGCTCCCCATGTGGCCCAGAGAAGCACCAGCCCCGAGGCAGGACTGGGCCCCTGGCCTTCCTGGAAGCCGCCGGGCTGCCTGCCCACCAGTTGCCCGCTGGACTTCCTGTACGACCTGTACGCCGTCTGCAACCACCACGGCAACCTGCAAGGTGGGCATTACACAGGTGAGCCTTGCCTTGCCTTTCTGCCAATGCAGCTGTGGCCACAGCCTCGAGATGTCCCCGGAATGGGTGCCGCTCGGATGTTGAGCTCCCTGGGGCACTTAGTGAGATCTGACCCCTCACCCACCGCACACCAGGGCATGTGCGAGAGCAGAAGGGACCTTGTCCCAGCTACAGAGTTGACATTGAGTTAGGTTGGAGGTTGGAATATATAAAGTTAGGCCTGATGTGGTAGCTCATGCCTGTAATCCCAGCACTTTGGGAGGCTGAGGTGGAAGAATCACTTGAGGCCACGAGTTCGAGACCAGTCTAGGCAACAAAGCGAGACCCCCGTCTCTACAAAAAAAAATGAAGGAAAAAAAAATGAACTAGGCATTGTGGCTTACACTTATAGTACTAGCTGCTCAGGAGGCTGAGATGGGAGGATCCCTTGAGCCCAGGAGGCTGAGGCCGTGGTGAACCATGATTGCACCACTGTACTCCAGCCTGGGCAACAGAGCGAGACCCTGTCTCCAAAACAAATAAACCAACAAACAGAGGTTGGTTATCACCCAAATTTTCAACCATATGATATATGGGAGGTCATTATTGGAACCGAGAGAGTGACGTTCATTCTCATCTGTGATTCAGCGTGAGGAATCTTACTTACCGGATTTGGTGGCCTTGTATTCTGTGGCGTACTTTTCATGTTTGTTCCTCTGAGGAACTTCAGAGCAGCGGATGAAGGGAAGGGCAAAAACAAGTGGCCAGACGATTTTCTCAATTGTTTATAATCATCCCTTTGAGGGCTTTCAGAGTGTCATGACGGATCATTTTTCTCGATTATGTCTTGTTTGTTTGCTTCTCCCCGACCAGGGCATCTCAGTGACGGTGAGAATCCTATTGGTAGCTGCAGCAGTTGAGTGTCTCCACCATGCAGATAGCGTGGAGGGTCATCAGGGTGAGCCTTAGTAGTGTAAGGGGTTTAGGGCATGATTTCCGTCATTGGAGAATGGATGGAACAGGCCCCCATGGAGAAAGAGAAATGAGGATGCCGTTACAGGCTGGGGACCACTTGATTGGACAGAGATGCGCTGGACGGTCGGGTTACACTGGGCCAGCCTGGGCTGGTCACGGTGAGGGTTATGGGGGCCACCAAAGCCGCTTTCAGCTCACAGTGGCCGCCTTACGCTGCTGTGCGGTGCCAGCCTGTTCTTCCACAGCTGTCCTGCTCCAGATGAGGCCTCGCCACCTTTGTAACTGCTGGGACCGTTCTGTCCAGCCACTTCCCCTGTCTCACTTCTCTGGGCTGAAAATAGCTCAGCAGGAATCCCTTGAGGCCCATATGTATCTTGGGAGGCATCTCTGTTACTCAGATTTTTTTTTTTTTTTTTACTAAGAGCGTTATGGCTGAATGAGTCCCCGTGCACACATGAGTGGTGAAAATAAGGACAGCTGGAACCTGAGCCTTGTCATTTCCCGTGCTGAACGTGCTGCCTCCCCATCTATAAACCCACGGGGTGGCCCCAACATAAATTAAGGGCAGTGATGTAAAACCACAGCAGGGAGTTAGAAGTAGCATAGGCGTGAGAAGCGTTGGTGTCTGCCTTATGAAAAGCGAGATCCAGGCCCCTCCTTGGGTGAGCATTACAGAGCAGAATGCCCTATTTGGGGGGCGGTGGTTTGGCAGCAGAAGGGACACAGTCCCTGGGAGGTTCCCCTTGCAGAGATCTCCTGGGTCTGTGTTTGCACACACAGTGTACCACCACCTGCCAGGAAAGAGCCTACTTAATACTAAAACCAAAGGGAGAGGAGCTCAAGGGGATAAGGGACTGGCGAGGTGGGAGGCAGGGCAGTGTCTGCAGCCAGCACAGCCCTGGGTAAGACCCGGGCCACTTGTTCTCATCTGCGCCAGCATACACCATCTTTTCCCTCAAGACAGTGTGCACCGCCCGTTAAATGGCAGAGCCTGGGCTTCAAACCTGGGTCACCCTGGCTCCAGGTTCAGCAGCTTCTGCCCTGCCGAGATGAGTGATTCCTGATAGGAACAAGTCTCCAAGCCATGTAGGGTGTTGTCGATGAGTGTCAACTCCCTCATTTAGGGGAAGCACACCCTCGGTGACTTCCTAGGAAAGGGTGATGGGAGCTTGACCTCTGGAGTGCTTCCGTGTCAGGAAATGCCTTTATTCCCACATCTGACTGATAGCCTGGCGGGACATAAAGTCCGTGATGGAAAATCAACAATGTTGCGCCATGTGGAGTGGGGTCCGGAGTGGGGTTTTGCTGTTGAGAATGAATCAGGCCAGTCTGATTTCTGTTCCTTTGTCTAGGATAGGATATATTTTTCTCTCTGGAAGCTTTTTCAGGTTCTTTATCACAGGTGCTCTGGAATTTCACGGAGCGTGCTTACCTGTGGGTCTTTCTCGTTGCTTGTGTTGGGACCTGCATTCAGGGGACCTGTGTGTCTGCAGCCACATGATCTTCAGGTCTGGGACATAATCTTTGTGCTTTTTTGTTTTGTTTTGTTTGTGAGATGGAATCTCACTATGTCACCCAGGCTGGAGTGCAGTGGTAGCAATCTCGGCTCACTGCAATCTCTGCCTCCTGGGTTCAAGTGATTCTCCTGCCTCAGACTCCCGAGTAGCTGGGATTACAGGTGCCTGCCACCACACCCGGCTAATTTTTGTATTTTTTAGTAGAGACGGGGTTTCGCCATGTTGGCCAGGCTGGTCTTGAACTCCTGACCTCAAATGATCTGCCTTTCTCGGCCTCCCAAAGTGCTGGGATTACAGGCATGAGCCACTGTGCCTGGCCTAGTCTTAGGTTTCTTTTTCAGAGCATCTTGGTTTTGTTTTGAGTCCTCACTTGGCTTGACTTCTTGTGATTCCTGACACATCCAGTACTGAGCTTCTGGGGCTACAGCTGGTGGGTGGCCCCCTTCCTGCCCCTGTGCACCCTCTCCACCTCCCCCAGGCACTCTGTGTTGAACCCCTTCCTTGCCAGAGGCGAGTGTGTGACCTCCACTCAATCTGCTTGCTGGGCCCTCAAAGCTGAGCTGTTGCTTTCTAGCTCATGTCTTTTGACATTTTTATTCCTTTTTAATTATTTGCTTCTTGGAAGTATGATAGTTCTACCACATTTCAGGGTTTTAGAAATCTCAAATGCCTTTTGTTTCATTTTAAATGTGTTGAGTGGGTAATGCATGCCTATGTTTCAAAATTCACACAGCCTAAAAAACACGGACGGTGACAAGTTTTGATTCTATCTTTGTTCCTCATCTACCCCCTCCTCATTTATAGGTAACCATTTTTAGTAGTTTCTTGTGTACTATTCTTCCACAATTTCTTTATGTAAATACAAGCAATTGTGAGTATATTTTTATATATACATATATATGTGTTGATTTTATATATTTTCTCCCCTCCCCCTGATTTAAGTAAAAGTACTATTTGCTGTGTTGCACCTGGCTTTTTTTTTTTCCCTGAAAATCTATCTTGGAAATCTTTTCATGACCTCATTTCTAGACAGCTTCTCCATCTTCTTTTATAAATGTAAATGCACTAAATAAATATAACAATTTATTAAATACTCTGTAGACGGACGTTGGACTGATTCATTCTTCTACTATTACAAATGTTGCTGTTGGCTGGGTGTAGTGGCTCACGCCGGTAATCCCAGCACTTTGGGAGGCTGAGGCAGGCAGATCATTTGAGGTTAGGAGTTCAAGACCAGCCTGGCCAACGTGATGAAACCCTGTCTCTACTAAAAATACAAAAATCAGCCAGGCGTGGTGGCATCTGCCTGTAGTCCCAGCTACTAGGAGGGCTGAGGCAGGAGAATTGCTTGAACCCAGAGGTGGAGATTGCAATGAGCCAAGATTGCACCACTGCACTCCAGCCTGGGTGACAGAGCGAGACTCTTTCTCAATTAAAAAAACACACACACACACACACACACACACACACAAATATTGCTGTCATAACCCTTTAGATATGTCATTTTCTAGATATGGAAGTTTATTGGCGGGATAAATTCTCAGAATTGGAATAGCTGTGTTTGTGTTGTAACAAGCATGAACAAGATGTCCTGCACAAAGGGTCATAGCAGTTTGCACTCAGATAAGAGTAAGAGAGCACCTGGTTCTCTGTAGCCTTTCCAGTAGAGTGTGCAATCACACTTTTGGATTTTTGCCAATCTAATACGAGGAAAATGGTATCTCAGTGTAAGTTGAATATTTAGCGTCTTAATAGTGTGAGCTTGAGCATCTTTTTGTATGTTTGAGTCATTGTGGTTCCTTTCCTGTAAACTGTCTATCCGTGTCCTTGCCTGTTTTTCAAATAAATTATTAGTCTTTTTCCCATCAATTTCTAGATGCTCTAATTCTTAATGGACTATGAGATTCACCTCTTTTCTGTAATATAAATTGCAAGTGTTCGTTCCCTGTGTAACATCTGTCAGTTGGCTATTCCTGTGGAAATTTGTTGCCATGCAGAAAGTTTTTATTTTTGCTTTTCTAGGTAAAATTGTCAATCATTTGGATTTTGAGTCATGATTAGAAAGCCTTTTTCACTCTAAGATTAAAAAGTGTTTCTCTTGAGTTTTCTACTTGGTTTTAGCTTATTACATTTAAATCCTTGATTTGGAGTTTCTTAACATTCTTGAGAGAAAGAGATCCAACTTTATCCCCCCGGAGTTGCCAATTTGTCCCAAGATCACTACTCATGGAAAAGCCAGATTTATTCCTTGAGATGCCATCTGCCATATTAGATATTAATTTTTTTTTTTTTGAGATGGAGTCTCACTCTGTTACCCAGGCTGGAGTGCAATGGCACGATATCGGCTCACTGAAACCTCTGCCTCCCGGGTTCTAGCAATTCTCCTGTCTCAGCCTCCTGAGTAACTGGGACTATAGGCGCGTGCCATCATACCCAGCTAATTTTTTGTACTTTTAGTAGAGACGAGGTTTCACTGTGTTAGCCAGGCTGATCTCGAACTCCTGACCTCGTGATCTGCCTGCCTTGGCCTCCCAAAGGGCTGGGATTAGAGGTGTGAGTCTCCGTGGCCAGCCCGGGATTTTTATGACTAGAACTAACATATGTAAGAGGCTTCTCATATTGTAGGCCCCAACAATTGGTAGCTTTCAAGTTGCCGTATACTTTTACATAAATGCTGTCACACCATAGATGTATTTTTTGTTTTTAGTGGATTTTTGTTTGCCATTTTACATATCAAAATAAACTTAAAAGATGTTAAATGAAATAAAATATTATGATGAGGCACTTGACTAAATGGCAAAATGAAATACTGGGTTCCCTCATGACCTCCTGGTGTGCACATCTATTTACATATGTGCGTATGTGTGTTTATGTGTACATACATAGATTAAGACAAAACAGAATTTCATGACACGATAATTACATTTGCTACATGTGATATACCTTAGTCCATTCTGTTCCGGAATAACATATTAATTAATTTTAAAAATGCTTTGGCTGGGCGCGGTGGCTCACGCCTGTAATCCCAGCACTTCGGGAGGCCGAGATGGGCGGATCACTAGGTCAGGAGATCGAGACCATCCTGGCTAATACAGTGAAACCCCGTCTCTACTAAAAATACAAAAAAATTAGCCAGGCGTGTTGGCGGGCGCCTGTAGTCCCAGCTACTTGGGAGACTGAGGCAGGAGAATAGAGTGAACCCAGGAGGCAGAGCTTGCAGTGAGCTGAGATCGTGGCACTGCACTCCAGCCTGGGCAACAGAGCAAGACTCCATCTCAAAAAAAAAAGAAAAAAGCTTTAAAATATTTTATTTTTTATTTATTAAACATTATTTTTTTAAGTGCACTGATTACCAGTGTCCTGATGGGCTGATGACTGGCAATTTGGAAGACACCAAACTATATAGAAATCCAGGATCTTTGCTCATTAATTCATTGCACAAATATCTATTAAGTACCCATTCTACGCCAGACCCTGCAATAGGTCCTGGAGCTTCAGTGATGAACAAGACAAATACGAGACCTGCCCTCATGGGGCTTCAGTCTCACTTTGGGGACAGACAATAAAAAGATGCTTATTATTTTAGCACTTTCACTACCTGGCATTTTGAAAGGGCAACTGATTGACTGATTGACTGTGTCTGTGATAGATATAAGGCCTCTCCAAGGATGTCACAGGTAGGCTCAGAGCTAAGGATGAGATAGAACTAGCTATGTGAACAATGGGAGGAATCGCATTATGAGCAGAGCCCATAGCACGTGCAAAGGCCCTGAGGCAGAAAGCATTCAGTGGGTTTAAGACATGATGAGAGCCTGGATGAAGTGCGGCCGTTCAGGGCTAAGTGACGAAGGGTGGGGCTGGAGAAGTGGGCAGGACACTCTAGGCCATGGATGGGAGTTTGCATTTTTTCCAAAGGGATGATAAATCATTTAAAGGTTCTAAGCAGAGGAGTGAAGACATAATCTAGTGTACAAATCAAACTAGTTGCTCTGCTGTATGGAGAATATGTGGAAGGGATCTAGAGTGGAAGTTGGAATTCCAGTTCGGAGGGTGCTTCAGGGGCTGAGTGAGAGACACCATTGGCTGAGATGCTGGTGTTGACAATCAAGATATTCGAGATATATTTTGAAAGTAGAATCAGTAGGTCTGGCTTTTGGACTAGGTGTGGAGTGGAAGGAAAAGCAAGAGCAAAGACGAACTCCTAGGTGGCTGGCTTGTGGTGCTGACTGTGGAGGTCAGCAAACTGGCCCACGGGCCGGATCCAATCTAGGGCCTGTTTGTTGTTGTTGTTTTTGTTTGAGATGGAGTCTTACTCTGTTGCCAGGGCTGGAGTGCAGTGGCACGATCTCAGCTTACTGCAACCTCTGCCTCCTGGGTTCAAGTGATTCTCCTGCCTCAGCCTCCCAAGTAGCTGGAATTACAGGCGCCCACCACTACGCCCAGCTAATTTTTTCTATTTTTAGTAGAGATGGGGTTTCACTATGTTGGCCAGGCTGGCCTTCAACTCCTGACCTTGTGATTTGCCCACCTTGGCCTCCCAAAGTGCTGGGATTACAGGCGTGAGCCACTGTGCCCAGCTGGTTTTTTTTTTTTTTTTTTTTACTTTATTAATAATTTATGGGTTAAAAACGGTTTTTACAATTTTAAAAGTGGGAGAAAGGCATGCAGAACGTGTGTCAGAGAACATATGTGGCCATATGTGACCTGCAAAGCCTCAATATTTGTCATCTGGTCCCTTACGGGAGAAGTTTGCAAACCTCCAGATTACTGGGTTGTGCTGTCATTTGCTGACACGTAGAGGGCAAGGAAAAGGATATGTTGTTGTGGTTGTTTGAGAAGTGGTGAGAATATGTATGAACTTTCCTTAGATGTTTGACTTCAGTTCTTAGGAAGAGGTATGCCATGAGCCCAATTGTGATTCTCGTCTTCACTTTTATTGCATACGTAATCAGAGATAAGCATTTTGAAGCTTCTCAGAAGAAATGGGGTGAATGCTGACATTATTGTTTGGCTACCTGACTTGGGAGCTCCCTTTTATCAGAGATTTTGCCTGAGGAAGGGGTAGAATATTCAACTTACAACAACAGTACTCTTGGCCGGGCGCGGTGGCTCACGCCTGTAATCCCAACACTTTGGGAGGCCGAGGTGGGTGGATCACCTGAGGTCAAGAGTTCAAGACCAGTCTGGCCAACATGGTGAAACCCCATCTCTAATAAAAATACAAATATTAGCCGGGTGTGGTGGCAGGCACCTGTAATCCCAGCTACCCAGGAGGCTGAGGCAGGAGAATTGCTAGAACCTGGGGGAGGGAGGTTGCCGTGAGCCGAGAAGGTGCCACTTCACTCCAGCCTGGGTAAAAGAGCGAAATTCTGTCTCCAAAATAAATAAATAAATAAACAAAAATAAAAATAATAACAGCACTTGTTATCAGTAAGAATCCGTGGGTATAACCTATTGATCTTTTCTGATTCCAGAAAAGTTCATTTCTGGCCAAAAATGGACTGTTTGTTTTTTTTTTTCTCATTCTGGTTTAAACGTACCGCTTTTTCAGCTCTGCCAGTGGGAAATGTCTTCCTACCTTTTGGGGCTCCAGTAACTGAGACTTGGGGTTGGGACCTTTGCAGCCTACTGCCGGAACTCTCTGGATGGCCAGTGGTACAGTTACGATGACAGCACGGTGGAACCGCTTCGAGAAGATGAGGTCAACACCAGAGGGGCTTATATCCTCTTCTATCAGAAGCGGAACAGCATCCCTCCCTGGTCAGCCAGCAGCTCCATGAGAGGTAGGTGCTGCTGCTCATGACAGGAGGGGGTGTGGTGAAGTCACTTAAAGAACTGGGAAGAGGCTCAGCAGGACCAGGAGAGGTTGGCAAGGATCTGAAAGAGGAAGCCCGGGCTGCTGCTGTAGAATCTGAGCAGCACAGACTAGTTGTTCATTTGCCAGGGTGTGGGATGGATAGATGATAATTCAGGAAAGGGGAAAAGGATAATTATTTGTAGTCAGGGCAGGTGACACTTGGCAGTGTGGAATTCCATATTCCTAGTCTCATATCACAGCAGGTTTTATTAGGTGTGTGTAATATAAACTGATGTCCGTCCTGTTGGAAAGGCAGGGCAGTTATAAAGGATCCTGGACTTTTCTAGGAAAGGTAGCTTTTTTTTTTTTTGAGAGGGAGTCTCGCTCTGTCACCAGGCTGGAGTGCAGCAGCATGATCTTGGCTCACTGCAACCTCTGCCTCCCAGGTTCAAGCAATTCTCCTGCCTCAGCCTCCCAAGTAGCTGGGACTACAGGCACATGCCACCATCATGCTCGACTAATTTTTTTTTAGTAGAGACAGAGTTTCACCATGTTGGTCAGGATGGTCTCGATCTCTTGACCTCTTGATCCAGCCACCTCAGCCTCTCAAAGGGAGCTGTTTAAACCTGCTGCACTCCAGAAATTCATTTATTAGACAGCCTCAAACTTGCTTGGAACTGGAGAAAGAAAGTACCAAAGCTGACCCTTTCGTGTGATTTGTTTCATGCTGCAAACCAACTGTCCTTATCTTTGGGACAAGAGAGCATTAAAAAAAATAAAATAAAATAAGCAGATTTTCTCCTAACAGTTACCAGAAAATGGCCAAATAAATCCAAGAGTCCTCAGCAGGTCTAAATCAATCCTAACGCAAGTCTAGCTTCCATTTATAGAAGGAGATACTGAAAAAAGAATTAAAAACCTGTCCTATTAGAGAAAAGAAGGTTTTCTAACTGTCCGGTGTAATAAAGACAATGTATCTCTATGGTGCAAAAGGTCCTTACTGCCCGTTGTAAAAGATTTGGTTTCCCTAAACATGGCGTATTACCTGTTGAACTCTGTGTACTGGGGCCCTGGTACTGGTAATAAAATACTGTTGCTCTGCCTCTGGCTATAGCTCTGAGTAACACAGTCCTTTGACTCTGGAAAAGAAACAAAAGCATATTTAGGACGCCAAAGCTGGCGACAAGGAATTTCATGGAAAGCATTTCAATGCTTGTCAATGTACTTTCCTTTGCTGCTGTTGTTGTTGTTTTGTTTTTTTATTTTTTGAGATGGAGTTTCACTCCTGTTGCCCAGGCTGGAGTGCAGTAGTGCGATCTCGGCTCACTGCAACCTCCGCCTCCCAGGTTTACGTGATCCTCCTGCCTCAGCCTCCTGAGTAACTGGGATTACAGGCGCCCGCCACCACACCCGGCTAATTTTTTGTATGTTTCGTAGAGATGGGATTTCATCATGTAGGTCAGGCTGGTCTCGAACTCCTGACCTCAGGTGATCCGCTCGTCTAGGCCTCCGTAAGTGCTGGGATTACAGGCGTGAGCCACTGCGCCCCGGCCCATACTTTCCTTCTGTGCTCAAATGCCTCTCCCTAAACTTGTAAGCTTCGTCACACGGGTACCCAATCACAGGTTTCCCCCCTCGTCATTGACTGGTTTCTGCAGTTCCGCTCTGGTTCTGCAGTTCCGGGGCTGAAGGATGGGGCCGGAATGGGGATCTGGCTGTGAAGTGCTCCCCTAGGACTCTGAAGGTCTAGGGTTGGGCTCAGCCTCCCTCTCTGTGTTTCCTCCACAGGCTCTACCAGCTCCTCCCTGTCCGATCACTGGCTCCTACGGCTCGGGAGCTACGCTGGCAGCACAAGGGGAAGCCTGCTGTCCTGGAGCTCTGCCCCCTGCCCCTCCCTGCCGCAGGTTCCCGACTCTCCCATCTTCACCAACAGCCTCTGCAACCAGGAAAAGGGTACGTTGGTTACGTGTGCTTGGTTTATTTTCATTTCCTGTAACGTCCATTGTTATTGCTCTGTATGAAAGCCCCGTCACTTCATAGCCTCGAATGGAAAGCGTCCATCATTACGAGAGGTTTGTTCATCTCTTAAATGGGATCTTCTACGACCTGCCCTTCCTTGCCCGCTTCTCCCCATCCTCTACCCTCCAGCCACAGGTACCTTTGCTCTGCCCCTGTGTAGCTTACTGTTATAAATAAGTAAACCCAGGAACATGGTACTTAAAGAAGGAAGAATGGCAAAGAGAATCAGGGAAGAGGGTATCCAGGCCCGGGGTGGAGGAGGGAGGGTGCACAGGGTCCTGGAGATAGGGTGGGTGGGGAACATCTTTCTAGGGGGTGACACTGAGCAGAGCCCTGAGTGAGACAGAGTGGCTTGTGTAGAAGCCTAGGGGTTTGTTCCAGGAGAGGAGCCCTCCAGGGTGAAGGCTGGGAGTGAGCACTGGATGTGTGAGGGACTGAAGAGACCAGAACTGTGGCCAGAGCAGCGACACCCAGGAGTAGAGAGAGCAGGAGTGGACAGAGGCCATGTCAGAACCTGCCTTTCTGAGCTTGAGGTATAAAGTGTGAACTCTTCTAAGTGTAGTGGATAGCGAGTGGAGAGGTGTGTTTTGTTTTGTTTTTTCCATGCTTCTGTTTTAGTCATTGTTTTTAAAAAATTGGCACATAATAATTGTACATATATATGGGGTACATGTGATATTTTGATACATGCGTACAATGTGTAATGGCCAAAGTAGGGTATTTAGAATATCCATCACCTCAAACACTTATCATTTCTTTGTGCCGGGAACATTTCAAATCTCTTCTAGCTATTTATATTAACTGTGGTCACCTTCCCGTGCTATGAAACATAAGAACTTATTTTATCTAACTGTGTATTTGTACTTTTTTTTTTTTTTTTTTTTTTTAGACAGAGTCTCACTCTGTCGCACAAGCTGGAGTCCAGTGGCGCAATCTCGGCTCACTGCAACCTCTGCCTCCTGGGTTCAAGCGATTCTCCTGCCTTAGCCTCCAGCTGGGATTACAGGCACCTGCCACTATGCCTGGCTAATTTTTGTACTTTTCATAGAGACGGGGTTTCATCATATTGGTCAGGCTGATCTCAAACTCCTGACTTCCCGTGATCTGCCCGCCTCCGCCTCCCAAAGTGCTGGGATTACAGGCATGAGCCACCGCACCTGGCCTATTTGTATCTATTAACCCACCTCTCTCATCCACCCCCATTCCCAGCCTCTGGCAACCATCATTATACTCCATACCTCCATAAAATGGACTTTTTTAGCTTACTGGAGAGTTCTGAGCAGGAAAGTGGCTGATCTGATTCCTAGTTTTTAGAGAGTCTACTCTGGCTACTGTGTGGAGAATACATCACAGGGAGGCAAGAGTGGGGACGTAGAAAGGTCATTCAGGAGACTAACATGGTTATATCCAGGTGGGAGACAGTGGTGGTTTGAACTAGCATGTTAGGTAAGAGATGGTCAAACTGGATATATTTTGAAGCTAGAGCTGCTAGGATTTGCCAATGTGGGGTGTGCGGTGTGAAGGAAACAGAAGGGTCAAGGATAACTCCTTGCTTAGGGTCTAAATAACGAGGGGAAGAGCTGCACAGTTAAAGAGATGGGAGAAAGTTGGGTAGGAACAGTTCATTTTGGAGGGAAGTCAAGGTTTTTTGACATAGTAATTTTGAGAATCCTGGAAGACATCAGTCCCCAGCCTTTTTGGCACCAGGGACCAGTTTCATGGAAGACAATTTTTGCACCGACTCGGGGTGAGGATGGTTTGGGATGAAACTGTTTCACCTCAGATCATCAGGCATGAGATTCTCATAAGGAGCCTGCAACCTGCATCCCTCATGTGCGCAATTCACAATAGGCTTCGTGTTCCCATGAGAATCTAATACCCCCGCTGATCTGACAGGAGGCGGAGCTCAGGCGGTAATGTGAGTGACGGGGAGCAGCTTTAAATACAGATGAAGCGGCCGGGCGCGATGGCTCACGCCTGTAATCCCAGCACTTTGGGAGGCCGAGGCGGGCGGATCATGAGGTCAGGAGATCGAGACCATCCTGGCTAACACGGTGAAACCCCGTCTCTACTAAAAATACAAAACAATTAGCCGGGCGTGGTGGCGGGCGCCTGTAGTCCCAGCTACTCGGGAGGCTGAGGCAGGAGAATGGCGTGAACCCGGGAGGTGGAGCTTGCAGTGAGCTGAGATTGCGCCACTGCACTCCAGCCTGGGCGACGGAGCAAGATTCTGTCTCAAAAAATAAATAAATAAATAAATACAGATGAAGCTTTGCTCACTTGCCCACCACTCACTTCCTGCTCGCTGGCCCGGTTCCTAACAGGCCGTAGATCACTACTTGTCCACAGCCCAGGGGTTCAGGGGTTGGGGGATAACGTGATAACTGGGGAGTGGAGAGAAATATTTGAGAGTCATCAGCACATGGATGGAACGGTGCTGGCTGAGCTCCCCTGGGGAAATAGTACAGCTGGAAAAGAATGAAGGCTGGGCACAGTGGCTCACGCCTGTAATCCCAGCACTTTGGGAGGCCGAGGTGGGCAGATCATAGGGTCAGGAGTTTGAGACCAGCCTGACCAACATGGTGAAACCCTGTCTGTATTAAAAATACAAAAAAATTAGCTGGGCATGGTGGCAGGTGCCTGTAATCCCAGCTACTCAGGAGGCTGAGGCAGGGGAATCACGTGAACCTGGGAGGTGGAGGCAATCTTTTGTATATCATGCAAAGGACCATACAATGAGCTGAGATCCGGCCACTGCCCTCGTCTCAAAAAAAAAAAAAAAAAAAAAAAAAAATGAAGACCCGAGACCAAACCTGGGGGCTCTCCAACATCTAAGGGTTGAGCAGCCAAGAAAAGAACTGAGAAGGAGCAGCCAGTGAGGGGAAGAAAACCAGGTGAGCGTGGTTGACAGATGCAAAAAAAAAAAAAGAATCTTAAGGAAGCATCCAACTGTGCTGAATGCTGTTGAAAGGCTGAGAAAGGTGAGGATGGGTAGAGTCCATCAGGCTGGAAGCTCTCTGGTGACTCCTCCCTCCGGCAGAAGCTCCAGGAGCATCTGCTGTGGCTGGAGAGAAGGAAGGCCTTCCTGCAGCAGGTGGCCCAGAGGCTGGGGTGGAGGCAGTGGCAGTGCGTGCACACCCGACCAGGCAAGGTGACTGAAGGAAGGCAGGCTGACAGCTCAGTAGGAGATAGTAGAGATGCATTCAGATGATCAGGTCTCCAGGGAGACGTTGATGACGGCGCTGGGAACAAGGGGATAGCCACAGAAACAAAGTCCTTAAGGCTGAGCATTGTCAGATCACACCTGGAATCCCAGCATTTTAAGAGGCCAAGGTGGGAGGATCGCTTGAGTCCAAGAGTTCAAGACTAACCCGGGCAACATAGTGAGACCCCCATCTCTATAAAAAGTTAGCCAGGCATGGTGGCATGTGCCTGTTGTCCCAGCTCCTCCAGAGGCTGAGGTGGGAGGATCTCTTGAGCTTGGGAAGTTAGGGTTAAAGTGAGCTGTGAGCACACCACTGCACTCCGGCCTGCGTGACACAGCGAGAGTTTGTCTCAAAAACACAAACAAAAAAACCAGCGTTACTATATAAGAACTGTATGTGTATGTGTGTTTGTGCCTGTGTGTATGTCTGTGTCTTTGTGTGTGTCTCTCTGTGTGTGTCTGTGTGTTTGTGTCTTTGGGGGTGTGTGTGTCTCTGTGTATGTGTCTATTTGTGTGTTTGTGTCTTGTGTGTATCTCTGTGTATGTGTCTATGTGTGTGTCTGTGTGTGTGTTTGTGTCTTTGTGTATGTGTCTATGTGTGTGTTTTTGTCTTGTGTCTCTATGTATGTGTCCGTGTGTGTGTCTGTGTGTGTGTATGTCTCTGTGTGTGTATGTATGTGTCTGTGTCTCTGTGTAGGTGGGTTTCTGTGTGTGTCTGTGTGTATCTCCGTGTGTGTATGTCTGTGTGTCTGTGTGTGTCTCTGTGTGTGTATCTGTATATGTGTGTGTCTCTGTGGGTCTGTGTGTATGTATCTGTGTATATGTGTCTGTGTGTGTCTCTGTGTGTGTCTGTGTATCTGTGTATCTGTGTGTGTGTCTCTGTGTGTCTGTGTATGTATCTGTGTATATGTGTGTGTGCGCGTCTGTGTTTGCATCTCTGTGTGTGTCTCTGTGTGTGTCTGTATGTGAGAGTATGTGTGTATGAGTGTGTTTGTGTGTGTATTGTTTGTACCTGTGTGTATGTCTGTGTGTCAGTTTCTGTGTGTGTCTGTGTCTTTGTGTGTCTTTGTGTGTGTGTGTCTGTGTGTCTGTGTGTCTTTGTGTGTGTGTGTGTGTGTGTGTGTGTGTGTGTGTGTGTGCTTTAGCCTTTGTGTTCCTTCAGCCAGAAAGTGGTAACATGTTCAAATTATTTTTTTAGTTCCTTATTTCTTGTTAGGTCCTAACTTCTTTTTTTAAATACAATTTTAATAGAAATATTATATATAGTTGTGATTAGTATACTTTACATATCGCATACAATTATATATAATATATAAGTATATGTAAGTAAAGTATATTAATTCTTCATTACTTAAAGTATATTAAGTACACATCTGATAAATTTTCATAAAATGAACATCCTCATGTACCAGATTAAAAAACAGAATGTTCTAGCACCTTGCTCCTGTGTATCTCTCTCAATCATACTGTTTTAAATAAAAAAACAGCTTGCAGATACATAGTTCTCTGCACAGAAATTTACTTACGAGAGAGAGCGAACTGTTGTCTGTTGACGATTGTCAATAGAAAAGCAAACACAGGGGTGTGGAGAAGAGGGCATGCAGGGTGAGGTGGGGGAGCCACGTCCTCCTTTCTGCAGATTCATCCGTGGGCTGGAGTCTGTTGTGGAGGCTAGCCTCGTGGTCTGACCTGGAGAAATCTGGCCTGGTCACCAAGGGGAGCACCCTGA